CTTAGAAGCCGGTGTTACAATAGTAGAAGTATTACAATCAAACAATTCTTTGCAATCTAGTTGCCTACTAAATAAAACACTATTAGCATACATTGGTACTAGGTCACAAACTATGTCTTTTTGAATTTTATCACATTCTACCTCAACAATAGGCTTAGATTCAGTAGGTAAACTAACCTTCTCGAAAGATAAATGGATCTTTGAAATTGGTTTAGATTTAGTATACCTTGTAGACTTCCTTTGGAGATGTTTCTCAATCTTTATGGCTATTTGCACCATCCCTTCTAAATCTTCATAAAATTGAAGATCCAGTCATTTAAGTCCTCTTAAGAAACGAGCCATTGTAGCCTCCTCAGTCTCATAAATATCAAACTTCTCAAGCAACATTTGCATCTCCATATAGTAAGCCTCTACACTTTGGTTCCCTTGTCTCAAAGAACTCAACTTATAGAAACGATTAGGAACAAAATGCTCTCTCATTAAATGCTTAAGAACATACCATGAGTCTATTGGACGCTCAATGTTCCTCCGCCTACTCAAAATCAATTTATCCCACCAAGTAATTGCATAATCTCGAAGTTGAGCAACAACGAGTTTTACCTTTCTTTTATCACTTAAAGGATAATAATCAAAGACACATTCAACTTGCTTTTCCCATTGAATGTATTCATCCCCGGTTTGTACTTCCATGGAACATAGGAAGTTTAGGCTTGATGCTTCTCAATATAGGATCAACTTTATGAACTTCTCTTAGATTTCTCCTTTGGACAGCATTAAAACATCCACCATATTCCCTTCCTTCGACCTCCCAATACTCCTTGTGGTGTAATAAATTATTACTCATCTTTTGCTTCGGATGGTTTGGTTGTCTTTCAATAGATTTGAGTCTCGAATCCAACCTTTGGAGCGTCTTTGTCAAATGCTCCATGTTGTGGAAAAACTTTGTAAAATTCTCTTGCTGAGACATGGCTGCAAAAGAAAACAAAGTAACAAAGAAAAACGGATCTCACAAGCACTCCCTCACGTGTTTACACTCGTAAAGGTATAGTCACTCGTGTTTTTACTCAAAACAACAACACTCTCAAGAAACTCCCAATCTCACTCACATAAGCCAATGAGCAAAGTTTGCAACTCAAGTGGTTAGATATAACACACAAAGAAAACACTCAAATAACTTGATATAGGATTAAATTCAAAAACTCAAATCAGAAACAAGCTAAAGAAGAAAGTGACAAAATTGGAACATGATAATTAAGATGGAACAAGAAGTTCAAAAGACCAGAAAATGTAATTCTTGAACAATTAGGCTATTTTGAGAATTTATGGAGTTTAATTGAGCTTTTTATAACAGATATGAGTTACACAAGAAAAACATCCTGAGAATTGAACAACAAATTGCTAGAAATTAATTGAAACAATTGTAACCGCCAAGAATGTAATGAGTAACGGTTAGTTGTGGAAATAAATGAAAACATAACTGATATGATTTAATACCAACAGCCAAATTAACACAAATAGGCAATTTCAAGAGCACAACTCAGATCTAGCATGCTTTGCAAGTGAAAAAAATATAAAGAACAAAGAATATGCTCTCGAGTATAGCAGTTTTCCAGAACAGAATATCAATTTTCGAACTTTTCACCTAGAAGCAAATTGAATCAGAAGATATGAAAGAAGACAAAGTTGTAGATAAGACGGAGATCTACAAACTTATAGAAGGCAACAAGACGAAAAGAACAATGGAAATGACACTTTTTTTATATTTTAGATACGTGGACAGAATGTAACTAGATGAACAATAAGAACAAAAATTTCAAAACAAAGAACAAGAAGAGCAATACGAAAACGGAAACATATATCCGATCTAGAGCCTAGTTCTCTGATACCAAATGATAAGAAAACATAGCCAATTGGATCTAAGAACCCTTATGGTTATGCAAACCCCTACATCACAAATGCTAAAACCCTCAAATCAAGATGATGTCAACCCAAGGAAGAAGTTAGAACGGATTTACCTTGATGATCAATATCAAGAGTAGAGAAAACTTGTTTC